TGAGTAAACATACAATCCACTTATTAGAAGTTTTACAACAGGCAAAACTAATCTAGAGTGACAGAAAGTAGATCAACATTATCTATTGCTGGGGATTGGCTGGGATGAGACACAGGGGAACTTTTTGGGGTGAGGAGAATGTTCTATATTTTGATTGTGGTGATGGTCACATGTCCAAACATCCAACTCTACATGTAAAATTGATGCATTTTATGTAAGCAATACCTCAATAAAGATGATTCTTTTTTCAATGGTCGTTAAAAACTGTCACCTTTCACAGTTCCTTGGCTTTGTCATGGACCAGCGTCTTTCTCCGTTACCTGGACGTTTGCTTAGGCCTCAGGTCTAGGCTACCTCCAGTTCCATTGCCTCCGTTTAGTGTTTTCTGTTGTGTTCTTGATGTAGATGGCAGATTTGCCAGGCATCTAGCTGATGTTTATTAAATGCTTGCTATAGTACTGTACCAGGTGTTACAGGTAAGTAGGTGAAGAAGATAGCTTTTCCGCCTTCGAGGAGCTTATAATCAAGTTAATACAGGAGATAAGACCCTTATAGTCCTGTCTACTGTACACAACTGAACGATTAAGGGTGAATTGCACACACTCCCTGCTGTGGTCGCTTCTGACTTGGTGAAGAGGGTGAGACTTGAGGTAGGCTTTGGAGAATTAATAGGTGGAGATGGGCACTATATGGATAGGGGTGTGCTGGGAGGTCAGGCAGGCACTTTGACCTGGGGGGAGTGAAAGGAAACAAGAAGATGAGGAAGTATACTGGATATCCTAGATTTGTAGGAGCACTGACTCCAGGTTGGGACATTAGAAATGATGAGGCTGGAGAGTGGTTTAGGGCTAAACAAAAGAGCTGAAATGTCTGTGGGCAGTGTGAAGGCCTTTCAGATGATTGTTCTGCTTGGGGACGTGATCAGAGCTAGTCTTTGACACCATCGTGTTGACACAAATGATGGAGTGGAGCAGGGAGGGATCAGAAATGGGATGTAACTACTTACGCAGTAGCCTAGGTAGTAAGTGACAAGGCACTGAGCTGAGTGGTTGCTGGACTCACTGGGGAACTTCTGGGAAATGTTGAAATCCTTTGGGATATGGGGTTGAGAAGAACAGCCACTTCACCCATTTAACACATACTAGCCACACTGCTTGTTACGGATCAAATCGTATCTCCCCGCCCCCCACACTAAAGTTCATATAGTGAAGCCCTAACCCCCCAGTGTGACTGGATTAGGAGATAGGGCCTATAAGGAGGTAGTAAAGTTTAAGTGAGGTCATGGGGTGGGATCTTAATTCATTAGGACTGATATCCTCATAAGAAAAGGAAGAAACACCAGATCTTTCTTTCTGCATGAGCAAAGACCATATAAGGACACAGTGAGAAGGTGGCTGTCTACAAGCCAGGAAGAGAGGCCTCACTAGAAAACAAATCTGCAGGCACATTGATCATGGACTTCTAGCTTCCGAGAACTGTGAGAAAATAAACATCTATGGTCTAAGCCACCCAACGGGTGCTATTTTGTTATGGCAGCCCAAGCAGACCAATACACCACTCACCACGAGATCGCTTACCACCCACGTTCCCCAGCCCATAAATATAATATCGAGGATCTCAGGGCTTTATATTCTGGTGACACACCTTTGTGAAACAGTACCTTTGCCTTTGGCATCCTGCCCTTAGCCACTCGGATAGAAGTCAACCCTGTCAGCCCTTCCCAACCATCAGAGTGCGTGATTCCTCCTGTCTCTACGGCTCTTCCCTATTTTCAAGTATTTTGACTCTTTGGGACTTCATAACCACTTATCTCACTTCCTATGAGATAAGCAGGAGTTGGTTTTCCCCATTTTACAGATGAAGAAATGGAAAATCGGAGGATTTTAATGGCTTGCCTAAGATAACCAAGCTGATAAGTTGAAAAGTCAGTTTTTAAATCCAGCTCTCCTGTCTCTCACTCACCACACAGCTTCCCGGCCCGTGCTTTGCTATGCCCTCCTCTGGACAGAGCTTTCTGTTCAAACCTATCTCAGAGAGGAGATGTGGGCAGCCTTTGGGCATTCTTCTCTTCCTTCCCTTGTTCTCCCGACACACACACATACTCACTCCCTCATTTATTCATTCTCTCTCTCTCCATAATGTAGCTTGGCCTTAGTGTCGTAACAACAGGGAGCTCTTCCTTTTCCCCCAGAGCCTAAAAATGGCAGAGCTCCCTTGTGGGTAGAGGACAGAGCAGGGATGGGGTGGGGGGCTCGTGATGCAACCAAAAGAGAAATCTCAGGAGGTGTGGCGAGAACGCTGCAGCCCCTGGATCACCTGAACTGCATCTCGACCAAGGCTCTGGGGGCATCTCATGTGGGCCCCACCATGGGTTTATTCCCAGCTAGTTAAGGCAACACCTAACACATGGTGTGCACAGGGTCATCGACTGAAGCTTCTTTTGGAAGTTTGCCCTTCCTAAAGCCTGTTGGTCTGTGTGGAGCTAAAAAAGGAAAATCTGTATGGAATCACAGAATTCCCGGGAAAATGTCGACTCTCACACCCCATTGTCTCTGGAGCTGGCACGCATCTCCTCACTTCTGAGCCCTGTTTTGAGGGATGGGTTGTTTGTGGAGGGCCTCTCGTTCCTGAGCAGCTGAGCATGCAAGTCTGAGCCTGTGCAAGGAGAAAGACCCCCACTGCTGCATCACCCCGACCGGCCTAATCAAGGGTTTCTGCCGAATCACAGACCAGCCAGCTTGTGGTGCCCTGAGGTTGGCAGTTGTTCTTGTAGCGAGACCTGGGACAATGGGATTGGTGAGAAGCTGACAGCAAGAGCAGTTTCTCTGGAGGTTGGAAAGAAGCTATCTACAGACCGCCCCTGAGGTAGAGTGGAGGTGTGGAAGGCTTAGGGGCATGAGGATGGTGGAGGGATGACTGGGGAGAGGAAGGGTTTGAGCCCAAGGGTAAGTGGAAAAGCTCTGAGACGAGCACTCTCAGACACAAGACCTCTCGGGCCGTTTTAGGGAGCTGGCCTTGTGCCGGCCCAACCCCGGGGACACGAAACAAAGAGGTCAGCCTTCCAGTCCTGGGCTTGGCTCGTCAGGGGTGCACGTGACCCCTTGAGGAGCAGGGTGGGCAGGGTCCACGGCCAAGCAGAGGCTCTGAGTTCACTCCAGGCCCATCTCTAGCCTTCCTCTTCCCATTCAAAACCAAAACAGAGCCTCCCCTCGGCCCCACCTTCCCATTCGTTCTCTCACTTCCTCACTGTACTATTTTCTGAGGCATTCAGACGTGAACGGAATTGGCCCTCTTTCGGAGCTTTGTAGACACGTGGGCTGGTCAGGCAGATACACAGGTAAATCACACGGTGTTCTGTGCTGAGACGCTATTACAAACAGTTCTGTGGGAGCACAGAAGGAGCAACCACCGGCCTGGGGGTGGAAGCTGGGGTGAGGCGTGGTGTTGAGAAAGATCTTCACAGAGGACATTATCACTTGGAGGCCACAGAGCACGAACAGGAGTTTTCCCGGTAGAGAGGGCTGGCGACGGGGCACAGGCATTCGAAGCAGACAGATGGCAAGTCCACTACTGTGGCCAAGTGAAAGGCCCCAGATGGTTTGGGGAGCAATGAGTGGTCCTGGCGGCCAGACAGGGAACGGCTGAGCTATAGTAGATATTCAAGGAAGCCCTGCTGGCCTGGTCCTCCCCGGAGACACTCCTTGGAGGCACAAGTCCCAGGGATGGGTTACGTGAGTCACCAGGGAGGCCCAAATGACCCTGTCGAGCCATCCTGCCCTTTGACAGTAGCACTCATCTGGACTCCAGGTTACTGGGGTTGCTAAGCAGGGGTGCAAGGCAGGCGGCTTCCCATGCACAAGGCATTTCTCCCTCTGCTTCTGTTCCCACCTTGGGACTTAGCAGTGACTTGGTGTGGAGAGTCCAAGAGCTGCCATGACCCTAACAGATGAAAAGGGTCATTTTTAAAGACAAGTTCCCAGCTCAAGCCAACCTAAAACCATCTAGGTCCATATTGAATGAGAACTTACCCTACAGGTACCGAATCTGAGATGTGTCTCCAAGAAAGCAGCATTTAAATAGTTGGAAAAAGATGAAAAGGAGTCTCCCGTCGGACTCAGAGCTGGTAGCCGGAGGGAGTAATCGTGGTCCTTCATGTCACCATTGCCACATCAGCTTACAAAGTCCATGCATGTGTCATCTCCATTTAATCCTCCCCCCGCATTGGTGAACTGGGCAGGGACAGGCTTCTTCCCCTCCGTCAGATGTGAGAGCTGAGGGTCAGTCAGGTCATTTGACGAACGAAGGTGTCTCCCCCTCGGCACGGGGAGCCGGCGGGGGCGCTCCCTTGGAGAGTAAGTGCCTCTTCCTTGAGTCACCTTCATGCTGGAAAGCAAGGAAGCATCTATTCCATAGCAGAACCTGGGCCCCCCACCCCTTCTCCATAATTTGTATTTAGAGCTTTGCTTTAAAAATCCCCCAAACAAACCTCCTGCAAGTTCTCTCAGCCACTAAGTGTAGAGCCAGGACGGGGACCTGCCTCTCCCGGAAGCCTGTCCTGCACTCTTTGTGCCAAGCAGCCAGGTCTCCCCACCCTGGACCTCTATGCCCTGGCTCGCCCCTTGCTTTCGGAACAGACCCTGGAAACACAGATGGTACCAGTGACATCGAGGGGCCATGATGAGCGCACTGGAGATGCAGGGGCAGCCCCTGTTTCCCTCCTTCCCCCCTCTGCTGCTTGCCTGCTGTGCAAGCAGGTCCTCTGGGATGAGGGGGGTGGCGCTCCAGCCCCTCGCAGGCCACGCACCCCTCTTTGTGCAGGAGCCCTAGCCGGCCACCTGTTGTTAATCTAGCCCTGGTAATCCATTCTGTACTGTGTCAGCAGTTCAAAAGGGCACTGTTAGTATTTTTTGCCGACTTCAATTAACGTGAGATTTCAGAGGCCCCTCCGATCACATTTCATCTGTCACAAGTCAGGAACAAAACAGACAGGTTCCAGTTGAGAGGAGGAAGGAGAAGGAGTTTATTGCAAACAACAACCAAACAGACAGTTTGGGCTGTGCCCAGCCAACGGTGCGCTGGGCGCGCGCAGCGGCATCAGTGCTCCATTTGGCCCCGTGCCTGGGCCCCTACGTCCTCTTCTCATCAACAGTCCTCCCCTCCCCCAAAGATGTAAGTGCAATAACTTACTTTAAAAGGCAAGAACGTTTCTTTTAATATTTTTGCTATAATGTAGTTACATGGTGGTATAGGCAGTAAAATTTTATGGAACCGACCTCATTTTTTTATACATTTTTCTGAAGTTTTAATGTCTTTTTCATATATATTTTTAATATTCCACCCCAGGCCATCAAGCTAAAAGAAAAGTTGCATTTATACAGGGTTATGGTATCTTACAAGGAGAACAGTCAGTATTGATTGAGGTTCATGTTCCTTCCAGCACTCAGCTCTCTTTTCAACCACTGCACACCAAACAGACTATTAGACATTGAAAACTGTCCTTCAAAATCAGTAGTATAAAGGCCTAGCTCTATGTATGTATGTGAAGGGGAAGAAGGGGCGGGGCAAGGGCAGGTAATGTTTTGTTCACTGGAACACCTTCCCCTCCCTCCAGCATCCTCAGGGAAGTCTCGTGGGCTCCCAGTGACTTTGAGAAGTTGAGTGTTTGTTGTCTTCTCGTTTTCCTCTTTCATGATCACGGATTATTACCCTGGGGGCCTGGTTGCCAGCCATCCTCACTCCCGCTAGGCCTGTTTGCTTTGGCACCTGACAGGCCATCACGCAGACCCAAAGCCCCAGAGCGTCCAGCCCTGAGAGGGAATGGCTGCGGAAGCGGGATTTGTGGTGGTTTTTCCTGGAAGAGTTCCTCTTGTCCACCCAGCGGGAATGAGGGCAGAGGGGACACTGTCACTGGGCCCAGTGTGGCTGCAGCCATGGGCGCTGGGAACCCACCTCACGATTGCTACCCCACCCCCTTGCAGTGTCTTTGAACTAACTTGGCCACCATGCTTCCCCAAGCTGGAGGCATGGTGGTGAGAGCTGAGAATCAAGTATAGTTGAACGAATTCAAGGAAAGTTCCAAAGCTCATGTCTTCCAAGTGCCGTTGAAGACTTGGGGACAAGCCTCTCTGTGTGTCCCCAGAGCCCTCTCCTCCCATGCCCTGGGAGCAGTGAGGGCATCTGAGGGTGGTAGCAGCAGCTTAGTAGTGTCAGGCCTTGGCTGCCGAGACTGGTTCCCAGCAGGGATCAGAGGCTGGCAGTGTGGGAAGGCTGCCCATGGGCCTGCCAGCCACCCATCACTTCCGGCTTGCGTGGCCATCTCTGTTGAGATCTTAGGCAAATAGCAAAGAAAACCCCACCTCTTTTAGCTTACTGGCTTAGCAGTGACCCCCAGAGAGGGTCCACTCTCCTCTGCACCTGCCTTCATGAAACCTCACTCCTGAGGACGCCGCCAGCCCCAGAGAGTCGCCCAAGCTTGCTTAGTCATCACGGGAGAGGCTGCAGGGGCACCTCCCGCCCCAGCAGCTGACAAGGCAGAAGGCCTGGGCCCAGCCTCCTGACCAGGGGAGCTCTGCGCAGCACCGGCCATCAGAGCCCCTCGCTCAGCTCTGCCTCAGGTGAAACACGGCTCAGGGTGGCCATGTCCCCCCCTGGGGGCCAGGGTCATCTCCACTGTGAAGGGATTGGGCTAACTAGAGGGTTTCTAATGCCTCCCCACTGGGCGATTCTGGGATTCTCGGAGAGTCAGGCAGGCCCTTGAGGGCTGGGACAGGGTGAGGACAGGCCTGGGGCTGGGAAGCTACCTGTGGGGAGATGCATAGGGACATTTTACACCAACATTTTAATCCTAGATACTTGACTGTGTTGGTGGGACAGACAGCCAGAGACACACAGCCTTCTTCTATCGGAAGCTTTTTCTTCTCAAGCTTTGGGTTGCCTGACTTAGGTCTGGCCCAGGCAGAAAGCAGACACAGAGAGGAATTGATGCCCGGGGTCCCTTCCAGAAGATTCCACTTAGGGCCCACCTTCTCCCTTCCCTCCTCCTCTGCGGCTATCCTAGTTCTTTCTCTCTGTCTGATTCTCTCCCAGGGGAGCACATACCCCTGGTGAAAGTCCCTCTCATGTCCTTCCCAGCCAGTAGGGCATTTAAGGAGGAACTGGGGGATTGTCTCCAGCCTAAGGCCATTTCTTCCTTCCTCTTTCTAGATTCTGGGAGTTTGAGTTGTTTCCGCCAACCTCAGAACTGGAAAAGGCTTCCTAAGAGTCAGTCCAAGATCCTCAAATGTACAAAACACTAAAGCCAAGCCTCTAAGAACATTTAATTCAATATCCAAGACCCCTTTCGCTTCTAGAAGGTCAACTCTAGAGCTACGGTTCACAAAGAGGTCTGACTCTTGTTATGGGAAGTCAAAACCAGCTCCTTCCCCAGTCTTGTTTCTGGAGCACATGAGAACGTGAGACAGAGGTGGAGACCACGATGTCCCCGAAAACCTAAGCAGCTCAAGGGGGAGGGTCTCACTCCTCCCTGCCCACCACCCAAGAGGCTGTCCTGTGTCCAGGCCTCTGGGCCTGGTGGACCTGGCCCTCCTCACTGACAGAATCGGGGTAGAAAGGAGAAAAGGCAGGCCCTTCTCCCCAGGGGCTACCTGCCAGGGGGCTTCCCAGGGCTCTGAAAGGCCTGCTTTGGAGGACAGGTACCCTGTGCCCCGAGCTTAGGTGACGGCTGGGCCCTGGAGCCTAAACTCAAGCTGCAGGCCTCATATCGGCAGAGGTGGCACCCCTGCAGAAGGAGGCCCCTCCCTGCAGGCGGGGAAATCTGCTTCCAGAGAGCATCCTGACCTCTGTGTCTGGAACAGAGCAAGGGACCCAGAGGAGCTCAGCCCCACGAGCCCTTCCGGAGGCCAGGGCGAGGGGCTGGGGTCTCCCATCCCCTAGGGCAGAAGTGCAAGGGCAGGCGCTCTCTGCCCTATGGCCAGAGGAACACAGAGCCTCCGCCTGAGTGGAAGGCCCTGGGCAGGGGTGGCGCTGGAGACCGCTGAGGGCCACCTAAGGCCATGTAGGGGCTGGCCTGCCACTTGGAGCCCGAGTGAGCGTGCACTCATCCTCTGGCAGGTCCTGCAGCTGCTCTTGGTCCTCTGCCACCGTGCCCGCCGGCTTAGCTGGTGTGTCTGAGGTGTAAGTTCTTCCACACCAGGACACTGCTCAGCAGCCCCAGTGAGTGACCAGAATGGGACATGGGGAGGGACAAGCACCTCCAGATCCTCCTGGAGGGGCTCGAATGGATGGAGAAAAAGCTACCCAGACCTGCCCACTGTCGCCGTCATCCTGCCTGCAGCGGGATGTCAGGTGGCCGGAGAGCGGACCTGTGTGCACGAGCCCCTGCCCCCACTCCCCTGGACACCTCCCTGCAGCCCTCCCTGCTCCTAGAAGCTTCCTTCCAGCTTCATGGGTACCGTGGGTGGTCTGCATCCTCCCTTGCACTGTTCACCCACATCCAGGGTCTCGGGGTGCGAGGGCGGCTGTGCATCCTCGGGGGCCAGCGTTGCTGGGTGGCAGCAGGATCCTTCAGCTCCAGCTCGTCTCTCTCTCTCTGCCCAATCCCACCGGGTGTGCCCAGCACAGGGGACAGCAGGACGGGGACTCCTCGCCATCCAGGGTGAAGGCAAGGCGGGTGCCTTGGGTCCAGGGGGTGGGATTCTGTGGGCTTTTAGGGAGAGAAAAGGAGATGGGAAGGCCGAGGCCGCCTCTGCAGGGCAGCCTGTTCTTCAGACACAGTCATTGGCCTGGTGACCAAGGGACCACACAGCAGAGGGAAGGACGGACATGACTGCACTGTGGCCACTGCTGGGTCTGCATGGGAGTCTATCCTCGACTCAACGGTCAAACTGGGCAGGGCAGAGGAGCAGGAGTGGGGAGAAAGGGTCTTCAGCTTATAATGGATGCAAAGCTGCAAAACTCGGCCGCCTGGCTTCCTCCACTGCCTCTGGCCGGAAGCAGGGGGCTCGGCCTCAGTGTCTGCTGCCCCCTCCCTCCCAACAGTCCACGGGGCCTCAGACTTGGAGCGGCGGAAAGTGCTGAGGGTCAGGCCCCCGGCCCCGGGCCAGGTTCCTAAGAGGAAAGTCGAATGGGGGGCTGGGGGCCTGGGAAGCATGGGCGTGGCCAGTGCCCCGAGATGGGGGAGGGCACGGGGATGGGACGGGGGTGCTCTGTCATGTGGCCCAGGAGATGGCCGCGCTGTGCTCCTTGGCCTTCATGCGGAGGGCCGCGATGCTCGACGTCTTGCGGTCTGGCTCACCGTTGAGCTCGTAGCCGTTGAGGCCCGGGTTGAGGCCCGCGGCTCCAAACAGGCTGCCCATGTGCGTCTGGCCCACGTGGCTGCCAGCCCCAGAGACACCCAGGAAGTCGGTGACGCCGCTGGCCCCGGAGCCGGGGGGGTGAGCGTGAGGGGACATGCAGGCGGGCACAGGGTCACAGGGGACCACGCACGCTGGCACTGGTGAGGCAGCCCCGTTGTTGCTGATCCAGGACGGGTTCTGAATCTGGGGAGAGGGGAGGCAGAGATGTCACAGGCTGGCGGGGGCTGGGGTGCGGGAGTACATCGGGGCTTTCCCCTCCCCCACGGATGACCTCTCCTCACTTACGAGCCCACCCTGATGATGAAACCATTCCGGAGCCTTTACTTGGGAGCCTCTCAAAACCTTTATGGCCATCTAGCCCCTTAGGAGCCTTTGGCTTTTAGGCTCTGGCTCCTCTGTTCCCAGGGCCAGGCGAGCGAGCGGCAGACAGAGGTTCCGTTTTAAACTTGAAATTTCATCAAGCGTCTAGTGAAAGGGCTGTCCTGGGGACACAGCTCACCAGCTGAGGGCAGCCCGCAACTTAAAGGCAGATGCAGACTTTGTCTCTGCATCCATGGACCGCTAGGGTCAGCGACTGTCTCACTCGTCTCTGGCTCTTCCCCAGGCCTGGCAGGCCCTCGAGACTTGATAGACGGGAGCTGACGTGAACCCAGAGAGCTCTGGCACTGGGAACATGGGCTGTGGGCTTGCAGGCTGTGGTGTGGAGGGGATGGGGTGGACAGCGGGGGGCCTAAATTCTCTCAGAAGTCAAGGGTAGTGGTGGAGCTTCCAGGGGCTCGAGCCCTTGAGGCTTCAGAAGTAACTTCCGGGACTGAAAGGGCTGCCTCAGGAGGTGGTGAGGGGAGGGATGGAGCCGGGCTGGGGGTGGGGTGAGGTGGGGGGGCACATGGAAGGTGTTCAGGCAGCAGGTGGGGTCGACCTGGACATGTTGTCTTCTATCTGTGCAGCTGTAATCCCTTCCCTCCCCAGCTTCCACCTCTGGACCCATTTTCCTCTCAGCGTTTATGGGGAGATAGAACTGGGGACTCAGCCAAAATTACATCCGTCCAAGTGTCCAGGCTGCCTGACTTTACTCACACTACTTCTCGTCCCTTTGCATCCCACTGAGGACTCAAATGCCCCAGGACGAGGGAATGACTGACAGCCATGGAGGAATATGGGAGAAGATGGGACAGACTCCTGGGAGAGCCGTGAACACGCAAAACAACCTTTCTGAAACTGGATAAGTCACAAAGCACTTTTGCACAATCTAATTTAGACCTTCGAACAACCTCTAAAAGAGTTGAGGCAGATGCTTTTTAAAGCCCAATTCACAGGTGAAGAAACCGAGGCTCAGAGAGCTTGTGACTTGCCTGTAGTGAGAAAGCCCTGGAGCTGGGATGACTAAGGACTCCATGTTCATTCCAGCCCTGCCTCAAGGCCTCCAGGCTTTAGGACCCCTCTCCTAGGAAACACTCTGAGTGGCTCCCGGGGGCCCGGAGGCCCCCCTGGCCTTCAGCAAAGCTTCCTCCGTTCTGATGCTCACAGCGCAAGTGGCCAAAGGGGCAGAAGAAAACGCCACTCTCACCACCCCGGCCTTCCTTCCCTGAAGTCCAGCCAAGGCTGGGTCAACACTTACGTCGGACAGAAGGAGCTCCGGGCCTCCCACATTCTGGAGGAACGCACACGCCCAGAATGGGCCCCGAGTCCTCTTTCCGGGGAAGGCGCCCCTTCTCAGAGCGTGAGGGGCTGGGGACAGGCACGTACCTGGGCATAGTTCTCTGCTCGGGTGAGGAGGGGCAGCTCGTAGGCCGTGGAGAAGTGGGTTCGAACCTGCTGCATCTGCCCAAAACGCTCCCTCTTCCTCCACTTGGCCCTCCGGTTCTGGAACCAGACCTGCAGGACAGAGCAGTTGTCACGGGGGTCAGGCCAGGAGCTGGAGGCCCCGCCTTCGGGCAGTGCCAGCCTTTCCCTTGAGTCTCACCAGTTGCAGTGTAGGGTCGAGGCCATGGGGCTACAGGTAATGTGTCCGCCTCGGCCTTTATCCTCAAGAGTTTACAATCTAGAATGATAGACGTTGAGAGCCTGGAAGGCACTTTATTCCAGTTTATCATGTGGGCCTGATCTTGGGCCAGTGGCTTCCTTTTTCTAAGCTTCAGAATCTAGAGCAGGCAAGTGTCACACACACAAAACACACGCCACTAGTCATCTTAGCGGTCATCTAACCAACCCCAGCATGGGGGGCGGCCTGATCCACTGGGGCCACAGACCCCTGGGGAG